ATTATAGGTTTAACAGACCTAGACTAGAGATTACTTTGGGTGTACTTTGTGCTTAAATCTTGTAAACGCACCCTTCTTGCACACTCGATTCTTCGAGCAAATGTGTGTTTCGAGATTTGAGCAAGATTCGAGCACAAAGTAAATCCCAAAGAACTAGAAAATCGATCTTTTTAGATAATAAAACTCTCAGATCTAATAAGACTAGTAGATTCTAAAATTAAAACCAAAAGATTCTATACCAATTCTATACCAATCGATTCCTTGAGCATAATATCTTTTCAATATGGGAGCTGAACTGAACAAGAGATTGAAGACAAGGCAAGAGATTGAAGCTTTTAAAGTTAAAGTTCCCAAATCTCAGGAAAAATTGATCTTTCAGCTGAACTCTCCTCACCGAATTACCTCGAGATTTCCCCCGATTCAGCCATTCTTTGAGAATTTTCCCATTTTCTTCTCATCCTTTGTCTTCCGCATTTTTTGTGTGAAAAGAAACGAGAAATTGAGATTCAGTGAATGAAAGAAGCATTGTTCATCTCTCAATCATCAATCTCTGCCCTGGCAACTAGTAAAATTCATGCCTTCATGTCGTGCGAAAATCTATGCTCACAAGGGAACGTCAACTGGATATACTGGCTAAATAACATGAGCCATAATACCGTACTCGAGACGGAAGACGGACGAAAGACGGACGAAAGACGAGACCGTCTCCCTTCCCCCCCCCCCATAAAATTCATTCTTATAAGGAATCATTGTCCAGTCAATTAGCGGGATTTAAAGAACACACAGCCATTTAAACCAAAGCAAAGGAAAAGAAATTTCGAATTCGAACCCGGCAGGTCTCGCCTTGTACTCTAACCTACTACCACTCGCTTACCCTGCCCATCTGAACAGAACGCTTTTAAGGTTTTGTTTGATATTTGAAACTCCTGGCAAAGCTTTAAATGCGTATAACTTTTGACAGAGTGCCGTTTAGCAAAAATGGAAAGCAGATTCGGAATCAGCGTAAAATTCTGCGTCGAATGGTATGGCTATGACGTATGGCCTTGGCTTGCCTATCCAATTCTATCCAATTCTTCATGCCGTGGGAAAATCTATGCTCACAAGGGAACGTCAACTGGATATACTGGCTAAATAACATGAACAGCCCAACAAACGCGCGCCTTCTGACACATCAATTTGCTGTCTTGTTGATTCAATTGGTTCAATAAGTTCTGAGCTAATTTTGGATAGATTTTAAAAGTATGTACTATTTTTTTGGTTCCAGGAATTCTCTATTTCATCTTCTAAATGAGTGACGAGCACGAGACAGTCAAAAATGCATGAATGAGTTGAGAAGGAAAAAGAGGGAAAGAAAGAGCTATAGGAAGAAGGGAAAATGGAATAGTTATAAGAAAACAGAAAAATGAGTGATTGAGATCAGACAACAGACGTGAGAACTATTATTAGCTTACACTGACACTCTTGAAGATATTGAAGATATTCATCTCTTGAAGACATTGAAGATATTCATCTTCAAGAGTCAACTAACATCTTCAACTAACGCTTTCAATTGTATTGTTTTGTATTTCAATCGTATTCTCAAAATATTCGACTAAAAACCATTTCAGTTTTGTGTGGGTGGAATTTCTTGAAGGATTCATTCAATTTTTTGTTCTTAAAAATTCTTAAAATTGGTTCTTTATAATATAATAATAATTGGATCTCTATAATTCTGAAATAAATAGTTAAATGAGAATTGAAACAGATTCAATTCTAGGAATCTCTGAATCAACAAAAGGCTCACGCATTTCAGAGAGCCTTTTCACCCGTAATTAGTGTTATCCACAAGATTTTGAAAGAAAAGAATAGTAGTAGAAATATATATTTCGAGTTTTCAATCTTTCAGCTCTTTTTTCTACTTGAGAAATCGAAAAAACAATAGCTTTTGAACACTTTTGGATAGCTAAAAGCCGCAATTATTCTTCGAAAAAGACCAAGTTGGTCTCTAGTTGGTCTCTAGTTTTTTGAAAATTTACAGGAATTACTGTGGAAGATGGAGAATTGAGAATTGAGGATTGAGTGTGCCAGAAAGTGTGTGTTTCCATTCTTTAGCACAAGAGAGCTCAAGAGAGAGATCACAAGATGATCTTTGCACCTTCAAGACCTCATTTTGTTCCATTTATACTTACATTCGAATAACTTCTTGTGTAGACTCTTGTGTAGGCCTTGAAAAAGGAATGTTGAGATGTTAGAAGTGTTGATTTGTGTATCCAATTAGAGATATCTGTGGGGGAAGATCTTGAGAAGTGCTCAAGGGTGATGCCTCACTCCTTCACCTTCCCCCCTTCCACCATCACTCGCCTACTTCACAAAAACTTCTGCCGAGAAATGGGAAACCATCCAAAAATCCGCGTGATCTCATTTACAATAAAGGAAAAGAGATTCTAAAAGTTTTGGGGGACGTATAAAAATCTTACAATGTAGCACAAGATTGATACTGATGTCGTAGCTGTCGTAGCTGTCTATGTCGTAGCTGATGATGAATTTCAGCCGATTATGAATGAGTCGCGCGTCCAATCATCAAGTGTTTGGTGTCATTCAACGCAGAATCATTAATAATTATGTTAAATCTTTTTAATTAGAAAGATTGGATAAAAAGAAAAAAATTTACGGCGCTTCAAAGTTTTCTCTCAAACAAATAGCTTTTTCGCTCTAATTTTTTTCGAATCGAAACGAATGAATTGCGAATCAAAGTTGGCTGTTCAATGATATAGAAAATGCGTCAAAAAATGAAATTCTCGAATTCCCAAGTGGCGTGTCGAAGGGAAAAATTCTCTTCTCATCACAAGGAAAAACTGAAATGAAATTTACGAGAAATAACTGATTTTGTGTGGGAATTTTGAGACACGATAGTAACTTTGTAACTTTGAAGTAACTTTGAATCAAAACAAAGAAAAGGCTGAATAGGTTGTACAGTGGAATAAAGAGTGAGAGTTCAATCAAAACTCAAATTAGAAGAGGCTGTTAAAAAAAGACTTATTTACTATCTACTATTAAGTAGATAGATTTATTCTTGAATGCGGATCTTGGATGAGAATGTTCTAATAAAGACCATATCGAAAAGGAAGATATGGTCTTTATTAGAATTTAATCACGAGGAATATATCCATAATGTAAACTATTGATCGATAACATTCTTAAAAAGTCAATCAAAGTGTAGTAGTCATCAAAGTTCCTTGTATTCAGATAAGAGCCATATGGCCTTTTTGATATTTTGAACGCATACACTTACTAGTCACTTTACTGACAACAATGGTAGGAAGTGAAACGCAAGATTAAAAGTTTCGTCTCGCAATTAGAAACCCCAAAAAGGCAATGGGCGGATAAAAATAAAGTTGCCAAAGTTGGAATGGAGAAGTCCAAATAGGAGATCGGACTGGGAGAGGAGAGTATCCTTTTTCCGATATCCCTCGAATAAGGGGGAAGGGCAACGAGAGAAAATTGGTGATGTTGGGATGGAGGGAGAGGGACACCCCCTTTTTTTCTGATCTTTTTGCTATTGGGTATGGTGAGGATAATTAGGAGAGCCATATGAGAAGGTAGAAATGGAGAAAGGAGAAGAAAGAAAGAAAGAAAGAGTGGGAGGAGTACTTGGAATCAACCTCAGCCTGAGATTTGAGCTTTTAAAGGAGAATATCAAAAACTTAGTACAGGTTTTGACCAAATATAATATACCATAGCGAGCGTAATAAAATGGGCGTAAGCGTAATAAAACGATCCCAGCTACGGTATTTGTTGGGTTTTTTCTTAGCGTTAATTTACATAAAGCAAAATTTGCAAAGAAAAGTTTGCAGATGCTTTGGGGGTGGGACAAATTCGACCTTTTTTGCGCGCCTGGATATTTGCGCACCTTTTTTCCCTCTATGGCCTTTCCTAAGGCCTTTTCCAGCGAAAAAAAGGTGCACAAATGCCCAGGTGCGCAAAAAAAGGTCGAATTTGTCCCACACCCGATGCTTTCACTTTTATTCATTTCTTCATTTCTACTCTTCGAGACGCAAAATGGACGGCGGCCGGGGAAGTGGGACGAATGCGACCTTTTTTTGCGCACCCGAGACATTCGCGTTTTAAAAAAAGCTCTAAAAAGCTAATATTAACCGATTTCCATTCCAAAACTTGTTTTTTCTGGGTAATTTTAGGGCGTAGAATCCAAATTTTGATATATCAGAGCTTGTGGAAGCAAATGAATAGAGTTATACATGGGGAAAATCGACAATTTTCTGTAATTCTATCCTTTTTATCTTTCAAATTAGTTTCACAAGCTCTGATATGGCAAATTTTGGATTCTACGCCCTAAAACTACCTAGAAAAACAACTTTTGGAATGGAAATTTATTAATATTAGCTTTTTAGAGCTTTTTTAAAAACGCGAAAAAAGGTGCGCAAATGGGGACGATGACGATTGCACCGCAAACGAAAATTGCGCCGAAAGACCAATGCAAAAGCCTCTGATCTGGCGGTGCAAATTTCGTATGCTCAAGTTTCGTTTTTGGCTTACGGCGCAAGCGTGATGGTCCCCGTAAATGTCCCGGGTGCTCAAAAAAGGTCGGATTTTTCCCATTCCCGTAAACGGGTACTATTAGTTGGGGGACCCCACTTTTTTCCGAAGTTTTCAGCTATTCTTAGATTTTCAAGTACGCCGAGCACAAATATCACCTTTTTAAGCTCGACTTTCAATTTAAAAAATTGGCTTTTTGAATTTTTGAAATGAAGGTTTTTAACGGTTTAATTGTTAGCTCAGGCTCAGCTTGTGGCCCTAAAGAAGGCCGTTGGCTTAGGGGTTATTTTGATGGCGAAATGTATGCTGCAATTTATCGACGGAAGATTCATTACAAAGGCTTTCGACTTATTAGCTTTACACAACAACGATCAAGCGTTAGATGGTTTGTTTTTTGATTTTTTTAAACTTAACTTCGTTTTTAGCTTTTATGAAGTACGTTCGCTTAAACTATATTGAGGGACCCAATGGCCTGGATGCGCGATATCCGATCCGGACATGAGAGATTGCCACTCTCGTCGACAAAGAAAAACCATGCTATAATAATTCACACGAAGCGACAAATCGGACAAGTAATGTAAGTCTAGCGTTAATGGACAACATTAAGATCGTTTAGTCGTTCCTTTTGGACGAACCCGGTGGAACGCGAAAAATTCTACTCAGCGATGTTTTCAAATGCTTAACTCGGCTCGAAACAATGAGATCTGTTGAGAATGAGAAACAATGAGACAATGAGATTGTGCACGAATTCCTAGTCGCAAACCGACCACTCCAAAGCGAGGTAATCTTGTCTTAAAATTGTCAGTGCTATTGTCAATGCTAGAACTGATTTTCTAGATTTGTTAAGTCGTCTTTCAATTATTTGGAGAAATTAATGTTTGGATGGTTTTATTTGATTACATTTTTTGTTTATTATTAGTTATTCATTTTTGTGATTCATTTCTTCTCAACTAAGCACTGAAAAACACAAGTTTTAGAAAAAGCATTTAACGATGGCATTAGTTGTTTGTTGTTGTTAAAATTCAAAACAAATTATTGTTAAAATTCCCGAAACGAAATGCCCGAAATTTAGTAGAGCCGAATAAATTCTTAAGTCCAGCAAAGTTTAGGCCCTAAATACCAGTTTTTCTGTGCAAACTTATGAAATTTATGAATTTATGAAAGATTTATGAAACGCGAGCATCTTTTGAGTGCATCTCAAAAAAGATTTTTAAGAAAAAAACTGCATAAATTTTAATTACCATACGATGACTTTCATTCGGGTAGCCAGAATAAAAAAAATTCTCATTTCTTGATGTTGCGTCTTCGTAGAGTCGTCCTTTCCATCGCCTTCTTTGTTTTAGTTTTTGGGGCTGAGCGTATCACATATCGACCAATTGGAGTCCCAGTTTGGAAACGAGTTCGTTGAATTTAAACATTTTCACACTTGAGCTTGTTTTCTTGTGGCTTTGATCAAAGTTACATCTATTTTTTTAGATCTCTAATCATCTAATCTACGATTTTCCACCCGATAACGATGGTTTGCCCGATTCGATTTATCGAGGAGACTTATCCAGGTAATTTATTAGTTGAGTAAATTATAATTGCTAGTTCTTTGTTTAGTTATCCGTCAGATGCATTGAATTCACATTCACCTTATGGGCCAACGATGGACACTGAATCTGATGAGGTAGATAAAATGATTTTCATTGAGTAAAGTGCTATGCTGCTGGTCGTTGTTATATGTATTATATTTAGGATGAAACATTTCGAGAGTTCTTTGAAGATTACCACCTTCACCACTTCTCCACATTTCTCAAGAACGGTGATGAGCATTTTGCTGAAAACGTGATAAGGTAAATTTTGCTTTGTTTCAATTAAAATTACTTTAGTTGCGCAAATTACCCGAAGAGTGATCTTCTTTATGGGGTATTTCGAATTAAGCAAGTAAGTTTTCTCTCATAAAGTAGGATTTGATATTTTTATACTAGGCCTATGTAAATCGCGGCGTTGGTTTTGCGTTACCACCACCAGAGCTCTGCGGAAATGACAAACGACCCAAGAAGCTTTTCAGAATTGATGCACAAATGTGAGTTTTTATACTTTTACAACATAAAACTTCATTTTTAGCACATCTGGGCAATCGTTTCTTCACACGTTAAAGGCCATTGGTTTATTTTAAAAGAGTTAGCAACTGGAAACTTTTATTTTAGCTGATGGCATTACGAAAAACGAGACGATAAAAGGCAATCCGATGATTTCCTTCACGAAACCAAAAAGAGATGGATTTGTTCACCCGATTGGAGCGTTTATGGCCTATGGGATACATGAGAAATACGATATAGAGGGTTGGTTTTGCGCAATGGGTAAGCCCAATAACTGCTTCGCTTTAGAAAATGCTGTCTCTGACTATGCTCGAATGCAAAATGGAAATATGTTCTTTGCTTTTCGAGGTAAAATATTAAAGAAACCTTTTGCTGTTAAAGTAGTTTTAGGTTCTCAAGAAAATGATCGCTTTGCTTATTCACATGCCACTTTTTTATGGACCGCGGTAGAGTTTAAACTTCTGGCGTTTAGTTTTATTTTTCTTGTTTAGGAAGAAACGGTACTGGTTGGAGACAAGAAAGTCACAAAACAGGTAGAGGTGTAAAAACTAGTATTAGCTCAGTATTAGCTCGTCTAGTATATGTAGTAAAGTTTTTAATTTAGATTCCGCTTCCATTCATCTACAACGTTGACTTCTTACTACACGAAAAGGATCAAATGAATTCGGAACCGATAACCAGTGATGAGATTTTGGATATAATGAATCATAAACCGAAACAGTAAGCGCTTCCGTTTATTTGATATTTTAAGCTTTTTAGGATGTCTCTTGGCGGTATTCGTTTGGAGTTAAAATGGGATTCGTGGTCTTGTTGTAGTGCTTGTTGTTGTGACGAGCTGGATTGTGGGAATTGGCATGCTACAAATTGGTTTGTCTTGCTAATTTATCTTTTTTCATCTTTGTTTTTGTTTAGTCACGATGTCGAGAGCTATCGAACTCGTCGGGGACTTTACCATTTTACAAAAGTAAGCACTTTTGAGCGTTTTAAAAATGTTCAAAATATTCAGGTAAATGACGCAGAGTTGAGGAAAAATGACTCCGAAAGAGTTGCCGATTTATTCGATGTAAAACCATACAAGTATTTATTCGATTTTTATGACTACCGTCATACTTTTTAGAACAACAGGAATTCCTGTGGCTTCATCGATTTGGAAAGTGTTTCCAAAAATGTGGAAACGAATGAACAAGGTTTATTCTGAAAAATCCTTTTATCTTTTATGTTTTATGTTTTTAGCTATTCAAGTTATCGACAGAAGAAATGTCGTTTGTGTGGAAACAAGTTTTTGAGGTTTTTGTTGACCATTTGGATTTATTGATTGCAAACTTTTTTAGATGGCCGACTGTGCAAAGGATAATCAAAAGAAAAATTGTACGGCGTGGGACATTTGCCATGGAATCGATCGTAAAAATATTCCAGTAAGTTTTTTATACTTTGCTTTACGCTTTTAGTCATGGATTAAATTTTTAAGATGCTGGTTTTTAGAGGGTGCAAAACGATGTAATCGACCCATGTAGTGGACTCGAGATTAAGGTATTTGATGGAAGCTTGCCCGAGAACATTTGAACACGTTTAGGAGTTTAAAGCGAACGCGAAGAAAAGGGAGCTCATTGTTGAAGAGGGTGCCGTCTACAGAATTGTTATTGATTTTGATCACTACGAGCAAGAACCAATGGAAGTGAGGATATAAATTTTAGAAATGAAATGGAAATTTATTAATCAATCGATGTACCAAAGTATAATAAATGATTAACACCAATATTTATAGCTTCTTTTTCTTCTCTATTTTCTACTTTAGGTATCTTGGACGAGAGCCGCTCAAAAAGTGAACGATATGGAAATTGATGATTCGTGTGAGGAAATACAAACACTTTATCGACATCCAAATAAGCGGTAACCAGCCAAGTCGAAATATATATCTGTTTGCTTAGAGATTTGCTTGTGCCTTCTATGCTTCACCTAAAGGAAAGCATTTTTGTGGATGCTCGATGGGGAGTGAAAAATGACCTTCAAGTGTTGATAACGTTGAAGAAGTAAATTTTATTTAAATACTTGATTTATCTGATGCTTAGAGTCCCTAAAGAGCCAGAGTCACCAGTGCTGAAGATCGTTTTGATTGTTGGTATCATCCTCGGTAGGTTTAAAGCTTAGTACAGCTTGAATAAAATAGTACTTCTTATTTTAGGATATTTATTTCTCATCATCGTTTTTTGCTTACTGAGTTGCATTACGGAAATGTGTTACGAGAGGGGTCGAAAGAAGAAATCCGAGGAAAATGAAAATCCTAAATGATTTTCGAGATTATGATTTTGATTTTTTAATATTTTTATGTAAATAAAGGAAACTTTTGCATAACCAGGAACAAATTCAAACAAGGAAGTCATTAAATGACTTGAAACTTCCGCTTTCTAACTATGGGGTTGTTTAAAGTTGTGCGGGGAGACTGATTGATTTGGAAACGAGTTTTCCTCAAGTACGGGAAAACTTTTTGCCGCCGATTTTGGGAAAAAGTGCGATCTCTTCCCGGTCTGACATTCGACGTTTTCGGCTATCCCTATATAAAAACGCTACAGGATAAGTGATGTACGTGCACGAGGAAAGTCAACACCAATTACTGCCGATTTGGATTCACTTGAGACATCCTCCCCCAAATCATTCCTTTATAAGAGAATTCGTTTGGCTGAAGAGAGTCAAATTTTACCTTCAACACTACTGTAAACATGTTATTTCTTTTGAGTTTCTGGCTAGTCGTCTTGCAAATCAGGTAAGTAGTCAACTTTGTAAAATTAGTCCTTTAAAAACTAATGCCTGTTTTAGTGCTGAAGATTTGTGGAGGAGAGATCTGTTCCTTGGGAGAAGCTCGTCTACCGACAATGAGCAAACGCATGGAGTCAGTGGGATTGCTATGGTAAGTGTATATGAAGGGAAATAAGAGTCCGGTTATACCTAATCAACTACCTTACAATTAGTCTGGATATCTAATCATTGATTGAAATTTCAGAATCGACAAGGCACCCCATTCACCATTCATGCACCCGACCCGAGTGCTTTCCTCGGATTTGTGCGTCTTAAAACTTTAACTAGCTGCTTTACATTGTTACTTATCTAAATTAAAATTTTAGGTCTCACCAAATCGTTTACCCGCTTCACCCTTGGCAGCTACAATGGAGACATCGTTTGGTATTCGATCGACTCCATTAACCAGCGTCCAATCACCCGATGAGCCCATTCCTAGCTATATGCCTCAATACAATGATCTCAGCCCGTTCAACCCATTGAATAGAGGTGAGCTCAGGGAAATATTTGAAATGTCTGCCTAAATGATAACAAGTTAAATAACACTAAAATGAATTTAGGCCCATTTTTTGCTTTCCACGGACGTGCCTCGCCCACTTCTTTAGAGTGGCTCACAAAGCACTTGAAGTTGACGAAAAACATCGATGCCCTTGGAAGACACACGGAGAAAATTTTGCCCAACGTTGAGGATCAAGAAACCGTCTTTGATCCAAAGTCATTCATGCCCACCCAATTGTTCAGGTTTTAAAAGCTTTAAAGCATTTTGTACATAACCCCCTCTCATGTATAAAGTTTAATAAATAACAATTCGAAAACAACAATGCAAACGTTATACAACAAAAAGATATTTCTATTCCTCATCGAGGTCTTAACAATGTGAAAATTGTACAAACCAAACATTAAAATTCGTGCGCCCATCATTACACTCGGGGCTTTCCTTGGCCAGCTTTTTTGAAACGTTTTGCGTCCTCAATTCGCAGATCGCTTAGTGAAGGTTGGACTTGTTTCTTGTCTAAAAAGATGTCATCTAAAAATGCACGTACCAAAACTTACTTTTGTAACCCTTCCACACTTCGCTCAATGCCGACGCTCTGGTCGAATCAGTTTTTACCACATCGGGGATCTAGAAAAAAAAAGGAGTAGCAACAAACCCAAAGAATCTTACATTGAGCATTTTTCTGACTGCGGGAACCTTGAAGAACCCAGCGTAGAAGAGTGAGACGATATTTGAAGCACACCAATATACACAAAGACCCTGAAAATTGTTGTTTAAAAAACTCGTAATTTTAAAGAATTCTAACCGCAGTTTTTCACAAAATAAGAAATTATTCAGTTAGGCAGTTAGGTATGTATGTAATATGTAAAACAAGCAAATTCTTACTGATGCAAATTGGCTTGAAGAGATGAGAATAATAACCGGCAACCCATATTGCATTCCAAGGCGCATCCAAGGGGTCATCTGATCGGCCGATGCACCGCTCTCAATTCCTACCTAAAAATAGATTTAATTTGTTTAATCCAATTCAATGAGAAAACATATTACCAAAACTTACTCGCATAACCATAGCCATTGTGGCAGCTGAAATCACCGGTAGAGCCCAATACGGATCGCAAGACGTGAGATCGGTGAACCATAAAGCACCACCAGTGGAAAATCCCGGATAACTGACCTAAACAAATGTAGATAATAAAATAAACCGACAACTAAAACAAACCACTGCCATTTTCCGGATTGCTAAAAATTGGGTCATGAAAATACCACCATTCACAAGCATGATCCCCAATTGGCGTCCCATTTTGATATCCTGAATAGGTAGTAATAGATAAAATAAAGCTTTTAGCTTTCCTCCCACCTTTGCTTTGTAGAAATCCCTCTGTTCTAGTAAGATTTGTTGAACTAAAATTAACAGTTTATTTGTAAAATTGCATCACGTACTTGCTAGATTGTCCCCTTCTCTCCTGGCATCTTCTATTCGACTTCTGTATACACAGCAATATGAGGCAAAATTATCAAAAACTCACCGAAAAGCGTCAAGTTCTTTCTTGTACTTGGATTGCTTGGCGACGAGTTTCTGTGACATAATCGGCACCCCGATAAGTGCTAACCGCAAGAGAATGGTTGCTAAAACAAATAATTTTGAAATTCTAAAGTCTACTTACTGCAAACAATGGCAGACCACCAGGGAACGTCTAGATGAACGTGAATTGATTCAAGGGCCCATCGAAAATACGAGCTCGGCTTCCACCACGACCACAAGCCTAATTCTTGTAGCACGGATTCACCTAAAATTATCGTATTTTATAAAATGTTTGGTTAAACATTCAACGTTTGTAATTCTAAACATTTAATTTTTAAAAATACCTGATTCAACTAGTTCTGCAATAGTCTTTGTTGGTGGTGGTGGTATGGGCACATCGGGAATTGAAAAACCGGTTGGTGTCTAAACAAAATAAACACTTTGTTGCTAGAAAAAGTCTGGGTGTTATACGGACCGGGGGGAGGGGGGCAAAAATTCCATATACTAATTTCGTTTTTTGTATATTAATTTTTGTTTCTCGTTATGTTCCACATCACAAAATTGTTTGTTTTCTCTTAGGTAACAACATTTATGAATTAAAATTAACATTATCAACAACAAAACAACTTAAGTTCAAAGATGACGATCAGCAACAAGTTCGCAGACTCACACATAAGGCTTTGAGTATTATGCCACCACTTCCACAAGGCTTCATAGTAGTGGTCGCCCGAAAGCTCACCCTTTAATCCGTTTCGCCAACTTCATTTGACGCTTAAGCTGGCTGGCTGGCTTAAGCTGGCTTCATAAACCTTCATAGCTATTGCAAAATCTAGTATACAAAAAGCGAAATTAGCATATGAAATTTTTGGGTTTCACTCCCGACCCGTATAGCACAAAGTATGTGTCCAGTTGCTAAAAACCAACCTGAGTATTGAAAATATCCTTAGATGAGATGTGACGTCGCTGGATTGTCGTGGCTGAACATGATGGAAGAGAACTCGTGCTCGCAACCGCCAATCTCGAGGCCAACGTCCGATTTATCGCCACTCGTCCCAAGGAGAGCATCTAAGTGAAAAAAATATAGGAACAATAAAGTGTTTTACGAATTGTAAAGAAAAGCAAAGTCTAGACAGAAATTAAATAAAAAATTTTAAGAGTCTTAAGCCAAATTTGAGATATTCAATTTTTTAGCTGCATATCTTGAATTTTAATATATAAATCAGAAGTATAAAGGTAGCTTTTGTCAGAGAAAGTGTCACATCAGAGAAGTAGTTCGAGTACCTCATCCTTGTCTCAAAAATTTAACCGTTTAGCATTTGAAAATCGTGCTCATTGGACGATTGTTGCGAGGAATTCCCCGTTATTTTACGTCAATTTTGGGCGCTTTTCACAGTTAGGCACTGGTTTTGGTTCAAATATGGGTGAAATTTGGAGGGAAATAGTCAGTTTTACTACTAAGAAATCTTGGAAAACTCTATGCTAATGATAATCTATGATGTTTTAGCAGAAAACACGCTATTAAATTTTATTACCTCACGTCATTTCCTTTGTTTCTTATCAAACACCATTGTTACTTTTTTGGTAAAAGTGTAATTAACTTTGCAAAATTTAGATAAAATGGGTGATATCGACTCGTTATTGGCCGCTTTCGATTCATCGGATGAGGAGGAACAAGGCGAAATCGAGACTCAACACTCACAAGCGTCAACAACAACGAAAACGAGTTAGTTTATTTTAAACTTATTTTGGATACAACAAAATTTGCTTCTTTTTATTAGATAAATAAATCTTGCTACTTTTTTAGTATTTGGGAAACGATTTTGGCAAATTTGTGTCACTGATTTAGTTCTCTTAAACTTGTCTGATTTCGACTTTAAAGCATTATCAGATAGCTTAGGCTTTGTAGATTCTAATAGTTTTTGAGTTTTTCAAAGTCTACCACAAAAATATTTAAATTGTGGGTTGAATTTTGACAAAATCGTTATCCCCCCGATACTAAAGAAGTAAATAAGTTTTTATTTTTTAGGCACGCCAACGCTTGTGCCGCTAGATTTTGATGGAGCAGCTCAATCAGGAAGCACATCGCCGTTGATTCAACGAAAACGTCTCGTCAGTGACTCCGAAGACGAAGAAAACGAGCTGTTAGAGAATAAAAAGTTTGTCATATTGATAAAGCAGTTTTCAACATTAAACTAAATTTTTCCATCGTTAAATTTTAGGGAGCTTTCGGAAAGTGGGCGAAATGTGAAGAAACTGCTTAAAAAGCAAGAAGATCGGCAAAAAGACACACAATTGCAAAAGTCTCTTCATCAGTTGGCGGCAACATATGCGGCGCCGACAGTAAAGCGAGAAGCAAAACTCGGAATTCCGCAAGCAGAAGAACCGAAAAAGCCGACGCCTACCGACTTTGATCCTTTCTTCAGATTCAAAATCAGGTTTGTATATCCAAAGTTTTTAAGTTAAATGAATGCTGATAATACATTATTCTAATTTGCATATTGATGTTTTTAGGAATCCAAAAGTATCATCAGAAATGTTTGAATCATTGTGCGATGGTATGACGAAACAAAGGCTTAGTGCACTTACTCAATCAAATGCTCCATCTGGTTAGTTTTCTTTATTTTTTGAGATCTATGTTCTTTTAGATGGTTTTATATCAATGGGTGTTCTCGTCGACAAAAGCGAAATCAAAAAGAGCGCCAATGGGAATCAGTTTATCATTTGGAAGCTTCACGATCTGAGGGTAATTTGAAATAAGATGAAGTTTGTGTATTTTGTTTTAGGATTGCCAGCAACAGCCAGTCAAGTGTCTGCTTTTTGGAGAAGCTTTTAAAAGTCATCAGCAACTTTTGCCTGGGAATTCCGTAGCAATTGTGAATCCACAACTTGGGGATAACAATGATGGAAAAGGTAAGTTTTGGTTATTTTGCAAAGTTTGTAATTTAGAAAATCAAACACGATTTAGATAAGTCAGTTGTGTTAAAGTTTGTTCGACCAGCGCAAATTGTAGAAGTTGGTTGGAGCGCTGACTTTGGCAAATGCCGGGTTTGTTTAAACTTATATCACTTTGAGCATTTTTGAAAACGTTTGTTGCATATTGATCATCTGAACTTATTTAGGGAATCAAAGCCGATCAAGTTCCATGTCAGAACTTTGTGAACGTGTCGCTGTCGGATTTTTGTGTCTATCATGTAATGTCACAAGTGAAGAAGCTTTCAGCTAAAAGGTAATTTTGTATTTCAATTATTGTAGATGCATTTTCTTTTAGAGGTACTTTCAATGCCCTTTCAAGCGCTCCACCAATACCGAAGAAGCCGCCCGTTTTTCTAACAAGGTTGGAGCTTGTTAAATATTCAATCTAAGTTTTTAGTGGACCTGGAATTGTGCGCAGCACTGCAGGAATTGCTATTACAACTCCTAAAATAAATTCAACTACTGCAATTTCGGGAACACCAGTTACAAAGGAAGATGAGCAGAAAAATCTTCTAACAATTGTCAGCACTAGAGTGAGTCTTCCTAACTAAATCAAACTAGGTTTCGTCCTTCTGTTTTCTATTTTAATGTATTACATTTAGGCTCATTTGTTTGGCGCAAAAAACTTGGTTCGACTACAGCAAGCAAAGACCCCAGGAGAAAAAGCTCAACTTTCGGCAGTACCCGGCTCCATTACAGCATTTTTAAAAGTACCTAATCGCTTTTTGAAAAAAGATCAACGTTCTCTTTAGGAAAATAAAGACGCATTGGAAGAGAAACGTCGAGATGATCTGCGAAAAGCGTAACAGTTTTTGCTTCACACATAGACGCTAACTTTTAGGCGAATGTACGCACTACGATGTGAGGAAAGTCCACGATTGTCTTTTAACGCGGATGAGAAGGAAAATGTCGTTGGACCGCACTTAGGCAAAAATAAAAACGAAATGGCTAAGGTTTTTTTGCTATACATTGTGATAAAACTTGGAATTTAGCAACGAGCAGCGGAAATTCTTCGATTGGAGCGAGAACAAATTCAACGAGATGGAGGACAAAAGAAAGGAATAAAACGGGCGGCCGGTAAGTTGTTTTTTAATGCAATACCTATTTAGATAAATTTTTATTTTTTATTTCCAACGAATTTTAGAGCCACCCAGCTCAAGTGCTAAAAGGGTGCCTCTCGATAAAGACGAAGTCCCCGAATGTTCGACGAAGAGTCTCCTCGAACGAAAAAGCAAATTTACTAGTGCCGCAAATAAAGTATTTTTTAGAAAATAATACTATTTCAAAGTATTCCAGGCCGAATCGGAGGCGGTTGGACGCTATCTAACAACATTGGAAGCTCAAGAGAAGATTGAAACATTTGCAACGACGACGATGAGTATCAAAGAAGTGGCAGTAGTCTCTTGTAAAAAGGTGAGTCCTAATGGCAGTTGTTTGGTCAAAACCTGGTAGTCTTTGATTTTTTTAGTGCGGTTACACAGCTCAATCACAAAGTGATCTCTGTCGACAAGCCGAGCATGTTGTGACAAAACACAAAGCCGAGAAACGGTTGGTTTTAATTAAACTCGGTTTATTGTTTCTATTTAGCTTTTTCAAATGCAAAAACTGTAAGCGACGCGTGATAGCGTTTGGACGACTACCAACGCGTCCATGCGAGGTGAGGGAGAGAATTTTGTTAATTTTTAAGGAAAAACTAGATCAGTTGTCTAATCAGGAGGTTATGAAAGGGATATATTGCCGAATAATTTCCCCATTTAGACTTGCGGTACAAGTGAATGGGTGCCAGTGGCTATGAAAGATGAGAGAAAAACGGCATTGGATCGAGAAAAATTACAGATTCGTGGAGAAGAACGCACGTTTGTAAATATTTGATTGTTTTCGGAGTGTACTTACTGGTATTTCTATTGACACATTATCGTATTTTATTAATTTTTTACTTTCATTTTGGTCTTTTCTTGTTATGATTCGGAAGCTATTGATAAATATATTGTTCTTCGTAATACGATACTCGCGCAAAACCCACTAAAGGCGGGCGACATTTTCTTGTGCTTCGGACAGATTGCGCTTTATTTCGCGCTCTTTTTGTCCATCAGCTGTTTTATTATCGGTCAGAGAATTTGAACAAGAAGACTTCCTTTGTCTAGCCCTTACTTCTCATTTAATTTTTTTCAAAAACTTTTTAAAGAGAATTACCAATTTGTACAATCACAAACAAATCAGATTATCGCAAAATGGGTGTCAACTGGATTGATGTGATTTTTCCTCGGCCAGCTCCCACAACGTGTATGTTATATGCAGAAAAATTAGAGGTTTGTTTGGACAATGAAAATGAGAAATAAGGGTTTTAATGAAAATATTCAGTTGAGCGAAAAGGATGAAAATCCGGCGAGGGATTCGCTACGAGCTCTTATTGTATTTGCTCTATTTGCGCTGACATTTGGAGCATTTATGGTAAGTTGTTAAAAAAATTAATGCAAATTTATTAAATCTTTAGTACTATTGAGTAATCTACCGTACTACAGTGCTACTGATATTGATCTATTTACCCATTCTTTCAGCTTGCTTCACTATTTCGGGCTGCATGGGCCCAACGCCGAGTACTTCCCCTATTATCCTTGGTTGGCGGTGGAGTATTTCTTGCAACTTGTCTACTCGATTTATTACCCGATGCGCTAGAATCTTTTGAAAAGGTTACTTTCATTCAAATTGCTCAAATCTGCAATTAGATGTAAAATCTCTTGAAATGATTGAAGTGGCATTACAGGCTGAAGTTTCCTTCTCATTTCCATTGGCTGAAGCGTGTGTTGGGCTTGGATTCATGATCGTTCTCTCGATAGAACAGGTAAAACGCCATCAATCTTAGCTTTTGGTCAAATGTGAACAGGTCAAATGCCACCAATCTTAGCTTTTCGAAAAGTTTCTAAGCCTATTTCAAGCTTCTAAAGCAAAAATACTTTGAAATGTTTCCAGTTGGCGATATACTTGCAAGAAATCGGTGTGATCGGGAGTGGACACGTGCAATTACATGAACATGATGGAGAGACAATAGAAGAGGAAAATGAGCACAGGCAAGCGTTGATTATTCGAGATATTTCAAAAGTAAAATAGGTAGAATTTATGGTAAAGTCCAATTTTTGGTAGATTTGGGCACGTTTTAGAAAACGTAATCTTTTAGAAGTGAATCGAATCGCCATGACGAGAACGCATCAATCTCAGCGATAATCATGGTTGTCGCCATCTCACTGCATGCACTTTTTGAGGGAATTTCTCTGGCAGTCATATCTGATCCACCAAAATTATTAGAGGTCGTCAAAGTCTTGTCAATGGAAATCGATTTTTTCAGATATTTCTCGCGTTGGCCATTCACAAAACGATCATCGGTTTCACGTTGGGCGTCAGATTGTGGCAAAGCGGACTTCGGCCATTGATCATCACCCTTTGTGGGGCAATTTTGGCCATGCAGGTGTGAAAATTTGAAAAATAGAATCGAGAAACTGAAGCAAAGTCGAATGTTAGCTGTTTGCAGAGTTCACACCTTTTTTAGGTGATAGTCGGTGGTCTTGGCGGGATCGGTATTATGCATTTTCTATCGGGTGGATCAAGAAGTACAGCATCTCTTGTCACAACAATTCTCCAAGGGATCTCATGCGGCACTTTTCTTTATATAACCACTTTTGAGGTGAGGAAATGCGAGAAACGAATTCACATTCATTTTTGACCGTTTCGGACTACCGTAAATACTCTAACAGTCCGCCATCCCGATAATGACGGGCGTACGGTCGCGTAGTCTAACTTTGAACGTCCCGTTCTCCGCGCTGCTTGATGCTACAGTGTGCACTGGGGTGTCAAATGATAGCCCTTGGGTTCAGCTATCTTTTGATACCAAAATCATAGTTGGGGAAAAGTCTAGAGGCTGAGAAAAAATTGAAAAAGAAGTTAGACTACGCGACTGTACGAGGCAGTGGCGTTCTATTAGAGCATCTATGTTAGCTGTATATCTGAAAATTTGTAACCAGAGGCATTCTGGGATGGAGAATTTGAATCCGTTATTAGTTTTTGAGTATTTTCAATTCGAGTCATCACAAAACTCGAAAAACTTGGGTAATTAAACTGAATTTCTAAAAATGACCGAAAATTTCTAAAAGTAGAGCAGTTTTCTTTAAAAACGAATAACGGATTCGAATTCCTTGACCCGGAAAACCTCCTGGTACAAATTTTCAGTCAAATTTGCCTCAAAAAAGGGCTAAATACAGCCTACCGGTTGGCCGGATCGTTGCGAATGTGTTAAAGGGGTATTCCGGGCTCCAGCGAAATCCGTTTTTTGCTTTGAACCATTATAACCCGTTCTTAGCGACCGGTGTGCTACCGGTTTGACCGAGTCGTTAGTGTTCTTGCCAAAGAGACCAGGGTTCGAATCCCGCTCGTTTTCATTTGGCTTTTGCTTTTCGTTTTTCATTAGATTTTTCAAGAAGCGATCAGCTGAGAGCCTCAGAATAAGTAGAATTATTACCCTTTCATTAACGAAAGCTAACAAGGGAGGTTCGTCAACTTGCCACCAGCTTTTAAGACGTGGCCTAGCATATCTAGACCAGTTTTTCGCGCTGAGTCCAAATCTGTACTCAAATCTACCCTGGACGCCCTCTGAGGCCAGGAAAAATGGTTTTAAAGTTGGCCAAAAAATGGTATTTGCACAAATAAGACACCGCCTTTAAGAAGAGAAGGGAAGGGAGAGAAACAAGTGACCGAATGGTGCTCTAGAAAATCACTTTCGGGGCTAGAGTTCCCTTTAAAAAGTTCAAACAAATTTTTTTTAGATTCTCCCGCACGAGCTTGATAAACCAGGTTTTCGAATGCAAAAATTAGCATCAATCTTCGTTGGCTGTGTTATTGTGATCGCTTTCACTTTATGTTTCCCGGATGCATAGGATTCATTAATGACTAAAGATTCTTTGACGTTATCTTGTTTGTAACTTGTAAGTAGCTTCCTCTAGCTTACTGTAGCTTACTGTAGCTTACTGTAGCTTACTGTAGCTTACTAACATGTTTGTAAATTTGCTGCTTGTAAATTTTGTGGTTGTAAGCATTTCCTTTCTCCTTTCTCTCATTTGTTGCCTTTTCCCTGTGATTCTACTGAACTCGGGTCTAAAGATTCCAATTTTGAAAAAGAAAAACCAAAAAAAAGCTCATTCCTAGGTGTTAAATAAGATTTGTTGCTTTGTTTTAGTACTAAATACTAGATTTTGTATCTAGTATCTAGATACCGTATTTCTTCGAATAGAAGACCGGGTAAAGAGTATCATCGTGTACTCCTGCGTAGCAGCCCTTTTTAAAATTCCTTTTCTGCATAAAAGCTTTCAATCAAGTGCTATAGAGCTGGAAAATGGCTCAAAAATACCACATGAGCTAACAGATTTTTGAGCCATTTTCCAGCTCTATAGCACTTGATTGAAAGCTTTTATGCAGAAAAGAAATTTTAAAAAGGGCTGCTACGCAGGAGTACACGATGATACTCTTTAGCCCGGTCTTCTATTCGAAGAAATACGGTACTTTAGATTCAAAAGTATCTAGATACTAGACATCTCAATGTACTCATTGACTGCCATCGAAATATTCAGCACAAGATCATCATCGTTTCTCAAGTGTTTGAATGTATTCTATCACCTAGTCTTTTCTATTTTATCCTCTTTCATTTTCTATATCTATAGGTGCTTTTCAAAATACAAAGCTCAAACTGTTTCCCTTTTTTTTCCTTCATTTACTTACCGTAAATACTGTAATAGTACCCCATCCCCATAATGACGGTGCGGAGTTTTGCGTAGTCTAGCTTTGAACGAGTGTTTCTCGATACTGGTTTATGCTACAATGCGCGCTTAGCTATCAAAAAATAGCCCTGAATTTCAGCTATTTTTTGATACTTAAGCCATCATTGTAGCATAAACCAGTGTCGAGAAAAACGCGTTCAAAGCGGAGTTTTGCGTAGTCTAGCTTTGAACGGGTTTTTCTCGTCACTGGTTTATGCTACAATGCGCGCTTAGGTATCAAAAAATAGCTGAGATTCAGGGCTATTTTTTGATACCAGAGACGCATTTTTTGAAAGTGCGGACGCTTTGAAAAAAATGAAATACTAAAAAACTTTTGCGACTACGCGACTGTACGAGGGGAGTGGGGTACTATTACAGTATTTACGGTATCACTTTTCTCATGGAGCTTCTCGTTTCTTTATTCTTTATTCAGCAATATTTATGAAGTTAATGAATAAACATTTGGAAAACAGCTATAGTATTTACAGGGTGTCTCACAATTATGGGAACGCGCGTCTGACTACGTTTAACTGCTTTCTGTCTTTTTCTTTTTATTTCTTATTAATGAGGACTTGATTGTTTTCAACAAGACGATGCTCCATCTCACAAGCCTTTTTGTACACAAGATTGGATCTCCAACAACTTCCCAGATTCCTTCACCGTGAACCCTCGGTCAACAACGCCCAAGCGAATCGCCATGAAACTCGCGCGATCTCCATCCCTTGATCGATCGATCGATCGACTCAATATGATCGATTCTTGAAAGCAAGGCATTTGCTAAGGATCACAAATCAACTTGCTAAAGCCCAATTGACTCCATGAAACGAGATTTAATCAAGGAATGAAACGAAATCTCTATCAGCACCTTTGAAAAAGCCATTGATGCCATTGATGCCATTCCCAAAGCATTTAAGAAAAATTATTAATGCTAATGGTGGTCATTTTGATCTCTAAATGTTTTTTTAATCTTTTTACAATTGTTTTTAAATAAAAAAAAGTTGTTATTACTATTTGTTTTGACAAAATATGGTCGATAGACTTTTGTTGGTATTTTTTCACCGTAATAGTTGGACTTTTGGAGTTGCTAGAGGATCTAGCAACTAACAAGGGAAAGGCACCGAGTCAAGATGGTTTTTTTGCCTTGAAATCAAGTTCATAGAGATCTCGATTGCCTTGAAATCTTATAGAGTTCATAGAGATCTCGATGCATCAAATTTAACTTGTTTATTCATTGTAAATCCGTAAAGCAACAGGTTTTTAAAAAAGCAAAAAAGTTTGGCGAGAGTGGGACTTGAACTTGAGGGCAAAAAATGCAGTCTAGCAGTCTAGCAGACTAGGCAGTCTAGCAAACTATCCACTAAACCATCGAAGTAGTAGGGTACTGTAGTTGCCAGAGTGTGTTCTCCCCGCAACCAATTAATTAATCGATTAAAGTCGGATGATTAAAATTTAAATGGATTAATCGTCGATTTAAATTTTAATCATCATGGTCAAAGCCTGGTCAAAGCCTTTTCTTTGCTCGAATATGCCAAAGAAAGGAATGAGGTCGAAAGGGAGGTGTACTTTGGAGTCCCGTGTTCCTCTCTAGGAACCAATGCTCAAATTTATCAGCTGTTTGTCATTTTTCTACTTTTTTTCATTCAATATCGTTCAAATCAAAAAAAAACCCTTTAGATTTATTTGTTTTCGCATTCAAAATGAGACACCGGTGACATTCTATCACATCTCTCACATCTTTCACAAGCTCTTCACAAATGCTCTTCACAATTTTCATCACTTTACTCGTTTTATTGGTGTACACGATTTTGAGGTTTGTTCTGAAAAAATAGATAATTAAATGAAATGATCAAACTAAATGAAATAAATGAAACTAATGAAATAAATGATTTCGCAAGTTCATCAGCTTAATATTCAAATCTAATAATTCAATTCAATTTTCAGATACAGCGCTTGGTTGGTTTCCCGTGTTCTCTCGATCGTTTTTGGTTTTCAAATAAATGTTGGCGGATTTTGGTGAGATTTCTAAAGAAATAAAAGATGAATGTGTCGACTTTAAAGACTAAAAGATTTTAAAACGAGATTTCTCGATTTACAGTCGATTTGGCGTGTTTGATGTGCGTGTTCGCCTAAAAAGTGGTGTCACTTTTCACGTGGATTCGCTGAGGATACGATTTTTCCCAAACCGATTCAGGTATTCAGATAGATTAGAAACAAATATAGATTCAGATAGATTAGAAACAAATATAGATTTCAGATTCAGATAGATTAGAAAGAAATATTCTAAACAAGTGAACAATTCCATTATTTTTCTAGTAAACCGATCGAATTGGAGCTAGGCGATGTGCGGATTGAGACCGATAAAAAAGAGATCAAAAAAGATCAAGCAAATTCAAGCAATCAAGCAAATTCACGCAAAACAACAACGGGAAGAGTGTCGAGAATTGCTCTGCTTTTTGCACAGGTAAACAGGTGTTTGATTGTTGTCGAACTTGGCTAATGATTCGTTAGATTCCGTTAGATTGACGCGCAAAAAAGGCGCGGCGCACTTTCTAAAGCGTGGATGCGCTACCGTACCCCACACAAAATTTCCCTTTTGCCATTCTTTTAATTTTTCCTCGTTTTCCCTTATGGAGTGGTGGATGTTGTCCAGTTTTTTATGCTAATATAGTTTTTTTATGTCCCGCGTACGTTTTCTTCCCCTTCTGTAAAATCTATCCTCCTTTTTGTCGCGCGTTTTAAGGTTTAAGGTTGCCTGTCTCCCCACATTCCCTTCCCGTTATATTCTTCCGCCCATGTTTCTTGTTTAAATTTCTAAAATGACTTTGTTTCGTTTCTCTAGGCTCCCTTCTACTCCATTGTCTTCGAATCTTTTTACCTGCTGCGTAAACTTAGCTTAACCATTTCTCTTTCAACTAAAACGCACAAAATCTACCAAATCAAATCGGTGCGATCTTCTTGGGGTTTTTCTGCTTTGGTTTGGTGTCTAATTATTTAGAAAAGGATTGGTGAGTAAAAAGGTATTGGGTGAGGTTAAATGATTACTAACTGATTCGTTAGTGAAAACTTTCTTGATAGTAAACATTCAGTGTCTGATGTGCTGAAATACTCCTTTTTCTTCTTTCTCTTTTGTTATCATGAAAAGGGAAATCAAATTTCAGTATATCGGCATTCATCTGAATCGAGTACATGTTGTTGTATTGGAATGGTTGCCCGAGTGTATGATACATTGTACTGTGGATGAGCTATCGCTGGAGACATTTAGGAGTCGAGATGGGTGAGAAATTGAAATATTATCCTGTACTTACTATTAGGTTGGTGAATAAGACTTTTTCTTTTCATACTTCCGTTTAAAACCAACAAATGAATCAATTGAACTACGGTTTTTTTCCATTAGGAAGGTCAATTATTTTTCTGCAAAATAACATTAACGGATTTAAAAGTCTTACGTCTGGTTTTTTTTGGGAGCTTGAAGTCGGATAGTCAAGAAGGGCGACGGCTTGATGATGATGGTTTAGACACTTTAGCTGAGGAAACCTATCTTGATATCAATAGGTAAAAGATAGAGCACAAAAAGTTAGGTATATAGCCAAATTTTCAGAGAAATTCATTCAGCCAATTTCTTTTTAGAGGTTTTTCGCAGATTTTCGCAAAAAGCACTTTTCACTCTCGGATTTGCTTGTAAGCGAACCGAAATTGACTTAAAAAGATGGGAAATTGAACAATAAACACTTTTTATTTAGAGAAAATCATAGGTTATTTGGTGAATTTGTTATTTTTCAACGGAAGTATGAAAAAGTATAAAAAGACTTATTTACCAACCTAATAAAATACCGAAATACTTGTCGATCAAACGAATTCTTTAAGTTGGCAAATCGAGGCTGGATGCCGTTTAGCACAAGGGAAAGCATTGAGAAGGAAAAGTGCCCAACCATCACCACCATTGATTGAATTTGGATTGCAGGTAAGATCTACTATATATTAAATAGCAGTGTCTGTCCGTTTATACGGACTTTTTCTCAGCCGCCTTTGGACCAAAAAAAACAGGATTTTTGAAAAAGTCAAAATATAATTTAGTTGTGCCATTTAAAATAAAAAATTCAAAATTGGGAGACACTACGGGG